ACATTTCATTCTTGCGTGTACTTCCAGGTAGGTTATAGGGCTTCCATCTAAGCAGCAGCTAAGGATGCTTTTTGCTCATATGAACCTCCAAATGAAGTTAAAGATGATTAATGTTCCCCATTCCAAGAAAATGTACAAGATCTCCTTACTCTCTCCTCTCCTCATCTCACTTCTCCACTAATAACATTTTCTTCACCATCTCCCTCTATCTCCCAAGCTCTGTAATCTGATTGTTCTTCCTATGATTGTGCTGTTATTGAGTTGCCTGGATCATACATATGTATAAGTCCACCACAATACTTATTCCATCTGCTGCTATAATTTCCTCCAGCATTCAACCAAACAGGAATCTCATTCCTAAGTGGAGGAAACACAAATGTCATGTTGACACGTGTGAAGCTTTGCTCTGTGGGGAACTTTACAGATAGCCACAAGAGGGGATTCACACCATTACTTTAAGTTGAGATTTTACTGATGTTTACATTTAAATTGTGTCTGGTGGTCTAGAAGACTATAAAGGCACATGTTTGTGAGTTTGATTTTCTGTTAAAGTGCTGTTTCTTGGTAAGGTTGGGTCAGATTTTATGTGATTGTAGATACTGAGAAAGTAAAACCTTTGGGTTATGCAGCTCTCATGGTGGAGAATGTTGAATGAAACCCAAGTTTACTATAAAGTACAATGTTAAACTGTCACCCACAATTTCATGTTCTTCCAGCTAGCGCCACCCTATAATTGGATAGTGATTTTCATCCATGTTAGATGTGTGGCTGTAGGGAAGACTTGTTAGTGAGTCTGTTGGTTGGTTGGTCACCATTTTGGTTCAGTGTGTGACATTCTTTTCCCAGATGGCTGATGATCCTATATAAGCCTCTAACATTTTGGCCACTCCAAAATCAGATATAACATTGCATGAAACCAGTAGCTTATTATGAACCTCTAGATTGCTTGCTTTAATAATTAAAACTATGAAAAATAAGCATAACTAGGACTAAATATAGAGAATATACAAAACCGTAATTGCAGGATATACAAAGGTTTGGCCACCCAACAAACTCAGCCCTTAGTAAAACCCTGATTGAAGATAGATAACTTGTAAACAGGTTCTGTAGCTGTGAGAGTTTTTCTGCTTTTGATTTAGAAATTTCCATCTTCTCTGCACCTCACTTCACATTCTGAGATATTTTTAGACTCTTGCACACAAATCTGCTCACAGATTTTTAGTGATGTTCGAATCACTGTGATTGCAGCTCCAAAGCTTCATCTTTTTCCTTTTCTTGATGTTGTTCATAGTGGATTTTGTGGTCTGCTTTGGATCATCCTCTTGCCTTGTAGTAGCCTTTTTTAGTTTTACTTTCTTGATTGACTGTAAGACATATGTATCTGGAGTATTCTCATGTTTAGTGGACTTGAAAATCTCTGAAATTGTGAGATAATTCTTGATCATGAAATGAAAGGCAACAGGAATTTACATTTGCAGGAAAGCCCAGCGGGGTTCGTAATTATTTCTTTTCACTTTGAAATTCAAGAAACCTATAATTTGCCTGAGGTTGGACAAATGTTTGCATACAACTAGAAGTTTATTTCAAATGTAACCTGTAAGCCTCACTGTGTTAATATATGATGTCTACTGCTTGTTTGTATGTGTGTGTGTGTGTGTGTGTGTGTGTGTGTGTGTACCTGTGTGTACCTGTGTGTACCTGTGTGTACTTAGCTTCTTCACCGTTTCATCACCCCTACAGTACTCCTCTGGCTATTGCTCTGAAACTTACTTCTCACCCATTGTAATTTCACTAAATAGAGGCAGAGGAGGAAGAAAAGCCTGAAGATTTATTTTTCACACCGTCAATCTTTCACTGGATACAGAAGCCTAATATGACCTTATAGCAAACATCCGCTGTTTCAAAAAGTCCATAGTTTATGGATTTCATGTCAAGAGAAAATATCTGATATTTCTTCTAACAAATCCTCACCCTTTAAATGGATTTACTGTCAAGTACAAAAAATTTCATATTTATGCTAATAGAAAGTCCATCTATTTATTGGTTTCTGTTGGCATTTTATTACTTTGGTGCCACAGAAGAAGAGCCCTTTCTCCGTACTCATCTTTTTCCACTCAGTCGATGTTTTGTTGAAGTTGCTGACTGTGTACAGTTGCTTTTCCCCTCGTCAAAAAGACCCACACCAACCTCTGACCAAAGCTTAAAATCATTTTTGAACTTCATACAGTTGACCCTGAAGGTCAGGTTGAGGTTCATGGTGTGATGTTGCTTCTGAAGATGGTTAAGGATTATGATGATCGTGCTGGTTCGAGCTCTGTGCCATAAGCTAGAGAAATGATTAGGACTGCACCAGCAGAGTGTTAGCCTGACAGATGGCAACACATGGAGCTAGCTGACAGCATTGCTGACAGCGCATTCACAGGAAGTCCCTATATTGCATGCGCTGTACACACTGTTTGTTGCTGTTCGTATTCTGATGTTTTTCTGCCATCAACTGTAGCCTATTTCTACCTGTCAGTGCCAAAGTCAGCTCACATCACCTGTTCACCAGCTTAAAATTGCATGTCCTCTGCACAGCCCTTCTATTATCGCGCCAATGGGAATAAAGGTCTTTTGAAAACCAGCAGTGAAACGTTATCCCAGTCACTGGTCATTTATCAAAACCTCTCTTTTTTTTGGGTAATTCATTCCTCCAGTGGTCAATAAAGTTTCAGTTATTTTCTCCCGAATCAATCTACTTAGAAATCAGCTCTGCAGGCATGTTAATTAATGGCCAGCAGAAATAGATACATTAATTGAATGACTGAATACATTAGAAGCTGTATTGAGTGCTGCGCTTTTGCCTCTGCGAATAGCAATATGGAGTTGTTATTAGGTTCAGTGATTGATGAAAGATGAGGATAGCTTTGGCACAAACCTGTCGGTTCCACTGCCCTGAATAGGAATGAAAGAAGACAGAAACTGTCCTTGCATGAATAGACACAAAAGTGGACTTATTTTAAAATCCTGTTTTCTTTTTTTTCAGGGGGGGGGGCGGGGGGTTGAGGTGTGTTTATCCACTAGGAGAATAGTTTTAAACTCCATCCAAATGCATCCTCAGGGGAAGTACATGTAACCCCTCTGAATATTTGTAATACTTCTCACTGTCACTTCATGACAGCTTCAAGCTTGCAGTCTGCATGTTCCCGTGTGCTCGAGTGTGTGTGTTTTAAAGTGTCTGTGTGCACATATATGCATATGGATGGGAGCATGGCAGTGACGTGATTGATGAGACATGAAAGAGAGCAATGCAAGATTTCCAGTCAATCAAGCCTGTGAATAACCACCTAGGCTGAGGATTAAAGTGCAGAAAGCTGTCTGAACAAACAAAGGCTCACATCCATTACCCTTACATGCAAAGTTGTTTTGCTCTCTGGAGCAACACTGACAACAAAATTAAAGTGTGTTAACAAAAATAGATGGTTTTGTTTTCCTGAAATCGGGAGATGAAACATTGCAACATATAACAAGTAGAATGCTCGTGGAAATGAAACTCAAATAAAAAGAATACTACAGATGAGTGACCTGTACAACATTTAAGATTATAGTAATGAGTGTGAAATAAAATGGGCCACAACAGAATTGTTTCACAGTATGTACATTTGGTTTTGTCCGGACTGAGCTGGACTTTGTGCATGATTTACTCTCATAATTCTGATCTCTTCAGCATGCCTTTATACAAATGAGAAGAGGTCAACCAAGCATTAGTTGCAGGTTGCTGGTTCGACTCCCATTACTGACAGTAAATAGACAGTACTTCAGCTTCAAACCAATGATGGGATTAGGGTTGGTGTGGTGCCGAGTATTTAATGTTAAATGCCTTTGAGGCACCAAACCGGTTAACTGCTCCAGCACTGTAACTAATTCCCCTGACTGGGATAAATTCCTGCCACATCAGCTATCATTTGAAGTTCAGCTTCAGTAGGGTCCTGACATCTGATTAATTAATATGTAATATAATATTAGTCATATTTTATATGTTGTGGCTACTGTTCGTCGTCACAGAGTCTAGAAGTAATCGGTTTTATTTATGCAAAAAACCCATAAACCATGCAATGTAAGTTATCATGTTATTACATTAGACAAAATGTGTAGCATTTGTCCAGCTTGGCCTTGTGGTGTCATCCCTGAAAATATGCATGAGTTGGGATTATTTGCAACGATAGAGGACATTAAGTCCTAAAAATTAAATAGCAAAATATTTTTTTTGCCTAACTCATCCAGAATGACACATATAATAATTTTGTAATCTGATTGTTAGTGACAAGATAACATAATTCGTCTGTGCCTTCAAAACCATGGCAATAACTCTGTGGTTATGGTTTAGTTTGGGCCCCAACATTTGGCTTCACTAAGGGAGAGAGAAAGGTTTATGATAAAAGACTACTTTATTAAGACTAGAAAGCATTTGCTGGCTACAGCAATGAGCATTTGGTAAAGTTCAGGGGTCAGTCATCGGCATCATTAAAAGAAGCCATCACTTAAGGGCGCTGCTATAGCTCACCTATTTGAGCTGGTATCCCATGTATAGGGGCTATAGTTCCCGACGCAGCAGTCATGGGTTCGAGTCCCGCTCATGACCTTTTGCTGCAGGTCCCTCCCCCAATCCCCCCCCTCTCTCTCTCTGTCCTAACTAATAAAGCCAAAAAAATACAAAAAAATGTACAACGCCATCACTTATCATATTCTAGCCTCTCATGATGAAGTCTGATGTTCTGTTGACCCATCAGTCCACCCTGACATCCACTTTGTGACTCTCTAACAATATTTTGCTGTTTCCTATTTCACTTAATTCATACAGGATTGTCCATTTAACATAAATATGTAATTTTTCGGCATTTGTTGAAGTGGCTGTTGTTTGTTAGTGTTTGTTCGGTAAGTCTGGCAGGAGAAAATGTGAAACGCTGAATAGCATTTAGTGTATTGTCAGTAAAATGTTCTTCTTTATTTGTCTCCTTCAGGTCCAAGGGTTGGAGAAGCAAGTGGACTTCTCAGATCTGGCCCCAGTGGGGTCGGTGATGAAGACTCTTCCATATGGAATGGGTGGTGGCGCGGTTGGAGGAGCGGTTAAGCCTCCGCACCAAACCCGCATCTACTCCACATCCATTGACCAGACACCTATAAAATCCAAACCACCCACCTACGGTTTCTTTAACCCATACGACTCGACCCGGAACCAGTCCCTGTTACTAGACCAGACAGGCTACCGCTCCAAACGTAAGCCGGCACTAAAGACAGCCATGAAGACCAAGAAGATCTTCGGTTGGGGAGACTTCTACTTTAACGTCAAGACCGTTAAGTTCAGCTTGTTAGTGACGGGTAAGATCGTAGACCACATTAACGGGACTTTCACTGTTTACTTTCGTCACAACTCTTCCAGCCTGGGAAACGTGTCTGTCAGTATCGTGCCACCCACCAAAGTGGTGGAGTTTGAGGTCCTTCAGCAGCAGCAGTTGCATTCCCACACCCATCAGGACGTCCAGATCCAGGAGACACACCAGTCTACCATCGATCCCAAAGAGTCAAAGACCTTTAACTGTCGGGTTGAGTACGAGAAAACCAACAGATCCAAGAAGTCCAAACCCTGCCTCTACGATCCGTCTCAGACCTGCTTCACAGAGCACACCCAGTCCCATGCTGCCTGGCTCTGTGCCAAACCTTTCAAGGTGATCTGCATCTTTATCTCTTTCTTTAGCATCGATTATAAGCTGGTTCAGAAAGTGTGTCCGGACTACAACTTCCAAAGCGAGCATCCTTACTTTGGATAGGTAAATGAGACTGAACTGAATAGAGAAAAAAGAGACAATGCTTATGACAACAATGATGAATATAATGATAATGATGGAAATGATAGTCATATTGATTATGATGAAAAAGCAGAGGATGGTTTTTTGCCTCTGAACTGCAGTGAATTGTGGATTTAAATCATGTATAATCAGTTATGGGTGGTTAGGATATGGTTGATTTCTCTGACTTATTTTCCAACTTTTTATTTGTTAACTTCTGTTTTTATTTTTTTCTGTAAATAATGTACTCACCCTCAGCAGACTTATTGTTTTTAGATATTTGTTTCTCAGTGTTATTACTTTCTGCGGTTGGAGAATTTGGTTAAAAACAGCTGGAATCTGTATTATGCCCTTCAAATACAAAGTGAGCCTGTGAGGCAGCTCTGCTGTGCCATCATTGTGTGGCAGACGTAATGTTATGGTAGACTGACTGTTAATCATCCTCTCAGCTCTACATTTCAAACCTGGATATAAGAGAGTTATATGTATGAGGAATGCTATGCTGGATATGCATACAATATACTGTATAAAAAAGCACATTAAAATCTCTTAAACTGTCTGCCTTTTACTGGGTGAATGCTCTCATTCGAAGCTTGAAGCACAATTGCAGGGCACAAGCTGTGCAACATATTCATGTTATCTAGCTCAGCAAGGGCACTATTATGACTTAAGCTACATTTTACTCTGATTAGGACTTCATGCTCAAGCTTTCAGTGAAGATATGTAATTTTAATTTTCTGAAATATATTGAAGGAAACTTTGTTATGGATTGAATTTTGACATGAAAACTAACCGTGAAACGTTCTTGAAATTATAGTGTTTGACTTCTTTTGAGGGAGTTGATTTGTACAGTAATAGAATCCAACAGAAGTAATATTATTTTTTAATTACATATACCCTAAAACTGAAAAGAAAAATTACTATTGTATTAGAAGTAATGTGACTGACACATTTCTGTTTGTTTGATCATGCCGGCAAAGAAAGTATTGCACACCTGAGTAAACATTTTTCAGTTGTTCCTAAACCTCCAGGTGGCTGCCTCATATTTTATTGACTGCTGTATTTCTGCTGCCAGTGTTATGATCTTAGCTGCCTAATAACATTTACTTTATCAAGGCTTTCTTTATGCTCAGAAAACGAACTTCAAGGAAAATGAAGCAGGACTGCAGCCCCGCCAAAAAAAGTAATTATTCAGGCATCCAGATGAAGGATTAAAACCGAAAGCACGAATCAGCTCACCCACTTCTTCCTTGATTAAATGAAGCATACACACCTTGAACACCAGCCCACCTCTCTGTCTCTTTAAGGCTATCTCTTCCTGGGTTACAGACTCCCCCTTTTTTTTTTTTTTTTTTCTCACTGCAGAGTCATTAGGTCTTTGCTCTCTCCACCTTTAATCTGATGGTATTGGTGCTCAGAATTTCATTTAAAAACACAGCTAATGCTAATTGAATCTTTATCTTACTCTGGCTCAATACCTTATTATGAGCTTGATCAATGACGTCGAGATGGAAGTCCACGGAGGTCTATGTATCTTACACATGTTGCTTTGGACAGTTGGGGGCATAGCGATTGATGGAGTTCCCCTCTTTGTTACACAGAATCTCTACAGAGGTTTAGTGAAGAATCACCAGACAAGCTGCTGTGGGCGGATCCTCACTGTATATCCTCTATTGTGTGTGAGCGTATATGTGATTGCATGTCTGTGAGTGGCTGCAGGTGCTTGTGTGATTCTGAAAATTTCCATATGTATGTCTGTGTGTGTCCAGGTATATTTTCCTGAATTTCAATAAAATATACATGAAAGAACATAGTCAGAGAATGCTTGTATTAAAGATTGTGATTGCACCAATAGAACATCCCTTGACATATTGATGATTCAGCACTAGAAGTGGAGAAAGTGGGCCTCATTTGTGAAAGAAAAGAAACTTCCAAAATTGTGCAACAGAAACATCAGATTTCAAAAGAGAAAAACTAGAAAAGGTAATTGATACACATGCTGCCAGTGCTGTCTCCCATAGACCCATCAAGATCTTGTCATTAGGTATTTTTCTGCCACTCTTATACACTGAGATTTACATTGAATGAGCAAGTATTGATTTGGCATCGCTGAGGGACAGTGGCAGCATACCGTAGTTGACACAAAAATTGATACAGATGGTGATAAAACTGGTGGCTACTTGATTATTATGGGAAAGTGACTTCACAAGACAACACCACTCAGCAGTAAAGCTCTGACATTTCTTATTTGAGGGGATTTGGGATCTTCACGGTTTACCTTTTACTTGAGGGGAGACTTATGTCACAAATAAAATATAGCATTCACATTTTGTCTTGTTATTAATTGAACACTGCTTACTCACATATTCATTCACTTACTTATTTTTGAGCAAAACTAGCTCATTATCATGAAGGGACTAGAGGATGCAAACTCTCAACCAGCAAAAAGCACCATGGGATGGTAAACACACAGATAAATCAAAACAGTCAGTCACGTCCATATTCACATTTACAGGCAAATTTAGAGACCTGTCATAAGATGTTTTGTGAGGCATCTGGAAACCTGAGGACACAGGAAGCACAAGAACACCTCAAATGGCATGCAAGAAGCTGAGATCAAGCCTGGAACCTTCTTGCTGTGAATCAAAACTGCATGAGTAGGTTACAATTTACTATCTCATAAAATAAAATCTCCTCCTCAAGATTTACCCACAAGGATACTAGAGCGTGCTTTACATGGCCATGAACAATTTATTGCACTTCTAAATGCCAGGCTTGTTTATCTAAACATTTATCATCCAAGATAAGCAGCTGTATAGTATGACAAAGTGTTTGCGTGAAATATTTATCTGTTTCTAACCGATGAGAGGAGGGGTAAACAAAGATAAAGCACTTACTGTTCTGTTTTCAGATTGTATAGATGATTTATGTACTTTAACAGATTTTTTTTTTAATGCGTGAAAACTCAGTCACAATGACGGGAGAATGGTTGAACAAACAAAGTGAATGGGCAGGTTTAGTGCAGTTCAGATACAGATGTAATGGGTATTGTAGGCTCACTGCTGGTTTATGTAAGTTCCTCATAGCGGCCTACGATTCCCATCGACCCTTGCGGCAGGACGAGCGTAACAAGCCGTTGCCAACAACTTCAAACACCCTTTCGAGCCTGTCAGCGGTGTGTCGCCTGCCGTGCTGCCTCTTCCTCTGGCCTGACAACTGGAACCATGCTGTCCTTCACTCTGAGACAACTCACACGGGTAACTGTAGCATTAAGTGCAAATTTTGTGTAATTGTTTCCCTCTCGGTGTTTTCAGTTAGGTAACTAGAGGCTGGGCTTTCTGCGTGTTTGAACTGATAGCTAGCTTAACGTCAGTGTGGGTAAGTACCAACTTGCAGTCGTGGGGTTTAAGTTGCCCACTCTCGCTTGTGCAAGGTGTACAGTTGATGTTAAATAGGAAAAAATAGAGTTTCCGCAACAAACTGGCTGTCTTTTCTGTCCTGTTCGCACTGATTTATTTATTTTATTTTTTTTGAAATCTTGACGCTTTTTAGCTAGCTGATTAGCTAGCGGCTAACTGTCGTTGTCGGTAACTTAGGTGGCTGCAGTTATGATGCAACAGCGACTGCTCAGTTTCATCATGTGGGAATGCTGCGAAAACATCATGAATGAACACAAATACATGGCTGTGGCTGTTTACAAAATTTAGTTTTTAACAAACATCCTAAATTAAGCTGAACTTAAAATAATGCATAGATGCTACTCAATGAGCATGTAACCATATAATAATTAGACACGTGAGATGTTTATAGTTGACGAGATGTGACATTGATTCATAAGCTTTGTGACTACATCTACACTAATAACTTTAAGTACTTTATTCAAAGAAAAAGCATATTAGATTTCCAAATTCATTAGGAGGGCAGACAATCAAATGTTACTTTTCAAGTGTCACCTCTTTCATCTCCACATTACTGTTGGAGAAATCTGCATAAAACTGTAAATGGATTTTGTTGAACATGAAGAAATTAGCAAACCAAACTATAAACATCTGCACATTATGAGCAACATTTTGGATTGGACATTATAAAGGTGTAACCCTGACTCTGGTATGAGCTAAACCAGTGGTTCCCAAAGTGGGGACAAGCAAGGAGGGGATCATGAGGTGATTTTCACAAATCACATAGTTTTCAAAATTATTAGAAATAGCATAATTTAGCCTTAACCTTTGCTAAAGATAAATACAGTAATTACATTTAAACTAAAAGCATGCAAATTTAATTAAACTCAGAATGGACTTGCCGTCCTCTAAGCCTAGTGCACGTGCATCTCATTAGGTGAGTTTAACATTGAAATGAAGTCAGAAAAGAAAGCTGACAAGTTTGGGAGCTGCTGAACTCTCTTTTAGTGGTTGTATTTATTTTCTTCTGTGATGTATGAATTGGATAGATGCCATGTTGTTTTTTGGTATCCGTGCTGTACATCATTTTTTAGTAATAATGCCTAAAAAGAATTGAGAAACTGACAATAACTTAAATGATAATGTTCTCTTGTATAATCAGAAACTTTTAAATTAGCTCCCTGTCTTCAGTTGTTAACTACAGTAGCTTGGCAAAATAGTGTCCCATCATTTTGTCAAAAACTTCAGTAGATTGAGTGTTTAGTTATTCAGTACTATACATGCTTACAGAGATGTGAAGTCAAGTTGAAAGCCACAGTCCTGATAACTCTATACAGATAATGCAAAAAAAAAAAAAAGGGTTAACAGATAATGATATATGAACTAGAAATGTGTGGTTCTGTCTGTTCTCAAAAACGTTCAAAGTTCAAAATGAGCTTCAGCTGTATTGTTCAGGAACCAAGCAAATATTAACCTCTTACTTTCAGATAATTATGTAACAGATAGGGGAATATTTTTGAGCAACTTAGGAAGTATTGCCATTGTTTCAGTGGTGTCAGCAGCTTCTTGACTATTATCTTTACCAGTAATTACTGCTGAAGGGTAGTTGCAAGGACGATGTGAACCATGATTTTCCAGATATAGATATTGTCCTAATATCTATTCCACACAGTTGTAAGTTTATGAATTTCACCAAAAACTAATGCAATACTCAAAATTATGTTAAGTTTCTAATAATTAGTCTGGTCTCATTGGTATATTGTACATGGGTTGTGGGACATAGCTGTTGAATAGCCTGTTCAGTATTACTCATAATATTTCGTACCACAAAGATGAATCAAAAACTTGTTTTAAAATTGCAACAAAATGTGAATGACAAAAGCTAATAGTTTATACCAGAGCTGTTGCTTGTGACTGCATTTTGTGGACTCTCTTTACTATTCTAGCATCAGTATCACCCTAGTATCCCCATTACATGTGTAATCCTAATTAAAATTCTAATATTCTGACACATGAAAAGGTGAAACAAAATGTCGCGCGCACACACACACATGCACACATGCACTTTCATATAATAACGGCCAGTATGACACAACAAAGTACTGCTCACTACTTTTTTCGTAAACAAATTGTTTGATTAGGTTAAACATCAGGTTGATAAAGGTGAAAGAAGAAAAAAAAGGTTGATTCTTAGCCTAATTATGGACCTCATAGGTGACCTATTTCGGAGATGTTATGAATTTCACGTAGTTTCTCAGAAACAGCTAGGCTGTACCAAGTCTGAGCCAAAATCTTGTGGCATGTGTTCAGACCTAGTTTTGTAAGTCACTCACTACTTTGTTTGAAGTTTCCCACTAAATTGAGCAGTTCACATGCTTGCATGCTTTTTCTATTGGTGCTAATTGGTTAAGTGTGCTTCATCGTTGAATTTTTAATGGACTCACAAGACAAGTCTTTTTTTGGTGAGAGGATCAAAGCATGTGATGTCCTCATAGGATCTGTGTATGTGACAGAAAGATTTCAGCATGCTGTTTTGTTTTTTGTTGCTGTTGACCTCATGTTCTTTATAGGACGACTGGTCTATGAAGAACTTTTTGTGACTTGGATCTTCGAAAGTTGTTGCAAGTGTTTATACTCCTAAAACTCCACTTAATCTGTATAAGAATTCCAAATGAACTCTACTCCCTTTTTCAAACCATCCGTCCATTTCAAAAGGCCAAAGACATAGTATTACTTTTGACTAAGGTTTTCTTTTACTCATGAAAGCACTTTCTGTAAGACATTCTGCTATTTTTTTTAGACTCCAGTTGTAGCGCAGATGATATTTGATTTGGTGGATTTGCATGGATGTCACGCTTAGATTCAGTATGTAATGATGGAAAAAGCACCTATGCACTCCAACTTTGAACCATTTGAAAAACTTTTAGTTCAATTTTAAATTGTTATGCAGTAAACTTTGTTAGAGCAAACTGAGTGTGAATGTCACAGCATGTAACTTTACACATTTTCAGATTTTGTTTTTGATAGTTTAGGTTCTGCTTAGGTGAGAAAGAAAAGGGGAATGCATTAGAACATTAGAGAGCTTGCCGAGTACTGCTTTTTGCATGCTGTGCATCAGTCAGAAATTTTATTTGAAACCACTGGTATTTGTCAGAACCAGAGGTCATACTGAAAATTGAACACCACTGTTCATGCTGCAACTAGACAAGTAGGAGATTCAGCATGGTGGTGATGTAACAAGGTAGCTGACATACAGTTACCCTGAAAAAGAAAAGAAAAAAGCATGTGGAAAGTTAGTATGCTCACACTTAACCCCCCCCCCCCAAAAAAAAGTGGTTAGTTCACAATGTATGCTTCTAAAGTCAAAATTCCATGTAACTAATAAAATACAAAAAAAATGTATGGTTAAGAACTTGAAATATTCAAATTTGATCAAATATAAATTCATTACTGACATGAGAGATTTCTTTGGCAGGAATTTGCTTTTCTTTGGTGAGAAGACCTGTTGCCCTTTAGAGTTTTCTGCATAACTCCTACACACCATGCTTTTGTTTGAAGTTCAGAGGAAACGCTTTGCAGTAATTGTACTTGTTTTCCCTATCTTTTTTTTTTTAGTGGTTATCAGAGGTTAAGTGGGTTGGAAAAGAGACAACAACATTTTTGTTTTCATCTATACGCTGCCAATGTTAACCAAAAGAGTACTATGGTTGTATTCAGCACTTAATTTTGGTTTAGAAATAGTTTACAGTGTTGCCGTAAATACAGCTTCTCTAGCTTCAATGTCACACACAGAAACCAAAAAAAATCGAATTTATTGCTTTGTACTTTTTGGCCTAAACTAACATATGCTGCCCCGGAATAGCTTTTCTCTGTCCAATATCACCATAAATTGAATATTTACACAGATAAAAACAGAGAAAAGCAGCTCTTCCTCACATTTAATATTGTATAATTTTGAAAATATCATATTGGACCGTGAAAGATTATACTGGGCATTTTATAGACAAAATATTGACAGAGAAAATAAATTGCAGATTAACTAGCTTAATTTAGTTTACTACACCTGTCAGACAGTCCGTTCCATCTCTGGGTTGGATTTATAGGGACTTAAAGTTTACTTCTGATAGAATAACATTTATTATGACTTAAAATCGTTGCTATTTATTTCTTCAAAGTTGTGTATATTAACTTAAGTTTAAAGACTGGTTTAGCTGTATTTAGGTGGTTCAGTATTTCTTTTTAGGTGGCCCAAACAAAATGTACAATGTAAGGAGACCCTGTAATGTATTTCTATTTTTGATTTAACACACTGTGAAGTTGACAGACAGTAAGAGGGGTTTGAGTGAAAGAAAGGCCACAATTCGGACAGTGTCAGTAGTATAGTCCCCAGCATGCATCTGCGGCAACATGAAGTTTAATGCAGAGTTGTTGTTTTTTTTCATTTCTTTCTGTTGTGGAAAGATAAACATAAATGTATTGTTCTAACACCTACACCTCCTGAAGAGTGGCTTTGTTGCCGGCATTGCTTAAGTCTCTGATTGTCACCCTGACAATCCTTGACCCGGATAGAGTGAATTCGCCCTGGACTGTGTTTCTGTCCCTTTACGCCTCTTCACCCCATCCAGACTTTTCAGTCTCGTGCTATCCTGAGTGAATCACAGGGCAATTTGTAACGGACAGCCCTGCTATTAGTCAGTGACAGAGAAAGAGGCAACTACGTGTCAGACTGACAGATGCTGCTGCCCTGTCGACACTTCTTCTCTGCTACCTTACATATCTGTTTGTTTTTTTGTTGTTGTTGTTGTTGTTGTTGTTGTTGTTTTCTTCTTCACTGTTTCCCCACTCTAGTCCTGTCTGCTTTCCTTGTGTTACAGAATTGATTGTTGTTTGGTATAGCCACTGATGGACAGCAGTCATCTGTAAAATTGACTCGCCTCAGGAGCAGCTTCAGGAAATGGGCAAAAATAATACAGAACAAGGATTAATGACATGATTTTCTTTCTTCCCTTTTGTTCTTCTTCGCCATTGTTGTTTGGGCACAGATGTTTGACAGGAAAGGCAAAGTGCCAACAATTACCTTATCATTGTCACACAGATGTAGTGCATCTGTGACTCTGCCATTATTTCGTGCTCAGCACCCAGGTTGATGTGGCCTATCCCGCCCCTTTTCTCACAGCAGAGTTTTCATCAAGTTCACCTTCAAACAACTGCGTAATGTGTCGCCTAAAAATAGTCCCACTGTGACATATTTGGTGCTTGTATCTTGGCTCTCACTTCTCTTGGATCAGTTTATCTTGTGTTTATTAATTAATCTTCCATAATGATCAGGGCTGAGAAATGAAGCAGGAAAGCGGAAAGGGAGACCGCAGGGACTGACCTGTGTGTTGTTTGTTTAAGCCCAGAGCTGTCCCATTTGGACACCATGGAAGTGATATCTGTGACAAGAGGAACTAATAAAAATGCCACACGAGTGTTACTTGGCTGAGTGTGCTTAGCAGCGTCGGGTGACAGGATGGGGACAGGAGGATAGGAAGAGGAAAGCAAGGAGGAGGAGGGAAAGGCACTCCTGTCTGTTTTGCAGTCAACAGTGGCCCTATAACCACACAGTGTTGGCTTGTGTTGGGTTTTTCTGCTGCTGCTTTCCCTGGCTTTGGTCTGCCCCAGACAGCAAAGGACATTTTCCGTCAAGATTTAATGACCCGTGTGATTTCTCAGTGAGAAACTTGTCCTGAGAGGCAGCTCAACCTGTCTCCCCAGGCCCTCATCTCCTACAGGACCCTGAGGAGTGGGGGGCTCTCCCCTTTTCCACCATCACCACTGCCACTGGTGACAGAAGGCCAGGGTAGACACTGTTAGAAATCGTCATTAATGTGCCACATGGTTCCCGTGGTGTGTCACTACTGTCCCCTCTACCACCGCAGGAACCAGGGAAGAGGTGGTAGAGTAGATTTAACAACATTTAAATTCAACAATTTCCCTGCGGTTTACACCGAAGGGATCAATAAAGTTTTATTCTATTCTATTCTATTCTATTCTATTCTATTCTATTCTATTCTATTCTATTCTAGAGTGGGTAGGCTAAACAACAATGGAGTAGCTACTTCAAGAGATCAATTGACTAAACATTTTTTACACCACATGGAATAGGCGTAATTGTATTTGTTATATTTTGGTCATCAACCAGTCCTGAGCTTTGTGTTAATTGCTTTTTAATAGTGCTATTAAAGGGAGGCTGTCCCTCACACCCCAGCACACCTGCACAGATGATAGCTATTGGTTAGTAGTGGGGGATTGATCTCAGCACAGAGTCATCATCATATTGTTGATTAAATGACGGGAAGGAGCCAGTTTGTTCTTAGTGCAATCAAAGTGTCAAGTATTTAATTCAACCTTTTAGTGTTTTCCCACACAGCACTCTTACTGTTGATTAGGAATTATAACAGGAACTTGTGCACTATTTAAATATAACCCAACATTTTTTGTGTGCACAAAGGTTTTCTTATTGTCCAAGCACTGCAGCTATGGTATATAACAGTAAGCTAGAATAATAGCAACAGAATTGAACCCAGTGTGGGATTCATTTTTAAGAAGAGCCAGTGAAAATTGTATGGACTCTGCACTCTCACATGATCAGGCATTGCAGCAGCAGCAGCAGCAGCAGAAGAAGAACTCGGCAGCACCAGTCAAGATTAGATAAGCAGGAAGTGCTGAATCTGTTCTCTGTATGCCTCCTTCTGGTACACTGAGGCTGTAAAAGTCAGTCCCTCAGTTTGTAGAAGTGCTGATAGAGGCATAATTGAACAACCATGCTGATTATTGATATCATGCAAACACGCCAGCTTCTAATTATACCAGACTACATATTAGAGTGTAAGAAGAGCTGTGGAAAGGACTTGAAATGTCTTCTTACTTATACAGGTCAAATCAGGCTGTCTCTTTATATATTTGAACTGATAAAATATGCTCTACAGAGAAATTATGTTCTGTGTAACATGTCTCATGTTGTATTCTGATTATTTGAAATGCCCAAACTACTTTAATCTTAATAGATAATTTACTCCAAAATTCTTCCCCCCAAACTTTGCCAGCCTGTGTCAGTCCTTATAATCCATGACCCATTTAACTGCAATGGCCCAGTTTTAGGAAATGTGTCTACAATAACTGTCTGTGTAAAACTAATAAAGTCTAAATTGAGACTTTCCCTCTCTGTATCCCCTCTTCTCTCATCTTATACGCCAACCTTCCTCCTGCTTACAGCCACTCTGCCAGCGGGCCCCTATTTGTCTCAGCATACGTGGCCAGCAGTCCCACGCTGCCACCCGTACAGTGGATGAAGATCGTCCGTGGACGGGTCAGGAGAGTCTAGCTCAGGATGACCCAGAGATGTGGGATCTGCTGCAGAAAGAAAAAGACAGGCAGTGTCGTGGTTTGGAGCTCATTGCATCTGAGGTACCACACTTTAAAAAAAAAAAATCCAGCTGATGCTTATTTAACCTGTTTGTTTGTTCTTGTTTTTGTTCACATTTAGAAAATGAGCAACACTAAAAGGGCAATGATGAAAAGAAGTTAAGTCTAATAAAACTACCACAAATGTGTGCAATTAGTCATGTAAATTATTTAAATGTTGCTAAAACCGGATAAGACAGCGACCCACAAAGCAGGGGCTATAGTCCCCAACGCAGCGCTCGTGAATTGACTCCTGACCACAGCCATTTGCTGAAGGTCTTTCCCCATTCTTCTCCCCCCCTTTCCTATCTCTCTTCATTGCTCTGAATAAAGGCAAAAGCCAAAAAAAAGAAAATTTAAAAAAGTTTCTAACCTAGCTAGTCAACACCAGAAATACTAGTTGGTTATGCTAATTATTAATATTTTCTTAATGTACAATGCTAGTTAACCGTTACATCCAATGTCTTACGCAGCCACCCGCTTGTTAGCTGGGGTAGCCCCGCTTAGTGACAGGTGGCTGCTTGCCCAGCAGTGGGCTGCTGGTGGGCAGGCTGCAGTCCTCCTCTTACCACACTAATGTCCGAGTGTGGTAAGGCATCAAGGTTAAGAGGCGGACAGATGATACCTTGCAAAACCAGCATTGCAGTATTTTCTTATCTAGAAAATGAAAGTGATGTACTGAGGTTGTGTCACAGTAAATTGGTACAACCACTTGACAGGAGCAATGCACAACCACATTGAATGTAGATGCATGTGGATTCAACTTGTGAGGTATTTTAAGTGTTATTTGTTAACTTTTATTTAATGAGTTGTCATGTTTTGTAGGGTAATGTGCAATGTTTATATGCAAGGTGCAAAGTACCATACATTTCAGCTCTTAAACAGCTACAAGCAATATTTTTTTTTGTTATTTTTCTGTTTAATAAATTTAAAAATTGTGCATTGGCAATCTCTCTAAAACCTATATCTGATGCCTGTATAACTCAGCACACATCACTGAATATATGAATGTGTGGATTTGCTCAAAACATTTTGACTGTAGAGTGAATGGGTATTTGAAAATGATGGGGCAAATGATGAGCAGAAGGTTTGGGCAGACTAATATAAACAGTTATTTGAACCACATCTTGGTGGATCAGGTAATAATTGGCACGTTCATTTTTACAGTGCCTTTAAAAATGTTGGCGTGGAGTTGGGAGGTGCAGATATTTTTATTTAATAATTAAAAAAATAAATAAATTCAGACACAATTCTGGATTAAAGTGGCTAATTTTAATTGAAAGACATTCAATGTAAGCACTTATTCAGTGCCTGTAAGAGTTGGCAACACCTCCTCTGTATGTTGGCAGTGCAGGTAGCTGAGAACACCCCATCACCTCTGATAAATGTTTTGGCAAACTGCTAAATGTGCAGACATTCTAGCCTTGTGGATATCCATTGTCGTAATTAATTTACATGTTGCTGCTGGTAGGAGTAAAAGAAACTACCTTTTTAGGGATGTATTAAGGCTCTTACTGTAGGTGAATACAGTATATAGTACATCGAATATCACAAATGACAGGGGTATTGCATTTTAAATTCATACACTGCAAATGTTAGAATGTTTTTGCTAATTTATTCCTAAATCATGTTGCTGAATGCATTAATGTTTTATAGCAATAAATTTGCTGGTTTGCAATCTTCCAGTGGCCTGCTAGGCTTGTGAAACTGTGACCTTCTGCTTCAAATATACAAATGAAAAAACTGATGTCATGAACTCTGACGAGAACGAATTCACATCAACCTTGCTTTTCATACATTATTTACCCACTGACAAACTGTACACAGTGTGCTGTAAGTCACTCAAACTTTCTTTCTTTAACGGTAAAAACACTTGAAAGTGACTATTCTGACTGTAAGCAAGAATAGCTCAGTTTTTACAGAACTCTTTGTTTTTATTCCAAGGCTGAATGGTGTGAAATGAAAAATTTTACTATTCAAAAGGGCGGACAAGGTTTTATCGTCTGTTGTTCTTTTTCCCTCCTCCTGTTTCTTCCTCGCCACAGTAGTTGTTCAGTGGAGTATATCAGCTCCCTCTCAACACAAAGCCTGACCGCTCTAGTGTGAGATAAAGCTGATATCTTCATTCTGCCTCCTCCCAACTCACTCTGCGAGGCACATCACAGTACAGCTCAGGCAGACATTCCTTGAATGAGAAGACATACGTTTTCCCACACGTGTCCACCCACCCACACACACACACACACATACTTCAAGACACTGAGAGGCAAATGCATTTCCTTTTCTAATATATGCACAATCGTCGGCATGACAGACGGACGCAACAGAAAGCTGTTACTGGAGCTGTTATCTTCCTTGATCTCCTCTTGGCTCCCAGGTGAAGCATTAGCATAACCACACACACACAAGACACCACCCACCTCCCTATTGAGGGAGAGAGTGGAGACTATATTTTTTGTGTATGTGTTTTTTGTCAGACCCTATTACTGACCAATGTGATAATATACACTAGTGTTGTTGAGGAGGCCATGTCAAAAGAGTTCTCTGTTACACAGTCAGAACTGCACACATTTATACAGGGAGAATTATGTTCGCATACATACAGTGGGTCATATCTTCTTTGCCACCTGATAAAACTCAATCGACAATAAGTCTACTGCATATCTGATAGAGAATTGTTCAGCTGCACATGACACCTAAAGTAGCCTTATATTAAACTTACAAATATAAATGGTACTCTATTAAGGTGATCTTTTCCTTTATACATTTTCATTCATTTGTTCTAACATTGTTTATACATTACCTGAGGTGTTAGCAGTCAAGTGTCAGTTTGGTTGCGATTAGTAGGAAGATTTGGACAAGAGTTGGAAAGACTCATTATGGTATGAAGAGAATGCAGTCGTGACTCGATAATCCAACCCATAGCAATCCGAAAACCTTGCTATACGACAGGTTTTTAGGAAAAACGCACGGAACCCATGAAAAATAGCTTTAACATACTGACAGCCTTGGATTCCGACTCTGACATGACATTTTATGTCACAAATAAGGATAATGGCGTATTATATGACTTAACAATCCAACAGATTGGCTTCGTTCAGACTGCAGGACTTAATGCTCAATTTGGATTTTTTTGTGAAATCCGAGTTTTTTGCAAGTTTGTTCACATCTCCAATTAAATGCGACTTGTATGCAGTCTCCTGGGTGAATTTCATACGACCTAAAAGTGCCCCACATGCGCAGAAGAGGAAACAATGACATCACGCGCAGCGAGCGTGCTCAGTGTTTGCGGACGTAAACACAGATGGCAACCGTGAAGCGTATCTGCCACCCCCCGCCACCGCCGCTGATGGTGGAAACAGAACTATGACCGCTAACTAAACAGCAGCCAAGTACTGCCTGTGCGTTCCGGCCACTTCCACCTCTGACGAATACCCCCCCGCGCGTGCCGAATGTTTGGATATTCATCATTAATTGGGCCTGAATATCCAGAGACCAGTAAGTGCTATTCTGACCAGCCCTACTAGTTATTATAACAACTATGAACAATAAATATTAACAATAAATGACCATTCAGGCATCAAGGCCTGCTTGTATCTGGACCTCTGTCTTGACAATCTGACAGCCTTGCTATTCAACATAAAAGAAGGTTTTTTCATTTAGTGTCGGATTATCGAGTCACGACTTACCAGATGAACAGCAGTATGTAAAAGGACTGCTATTGACAAATATTTTAATTTATATTAAATTAATTGATTAATAATTGTGTTCTTGACTGTTTAGAAAACTGAAGAAATGCTCTTCTACAGCCTAATTTATTGTGAAAATGATAGGTCGTTCCATAGCACACATAAGATATGTAAGAAAAACTTTTGGTGGAAAATTGCACCACTTTTTCAGCAAAATAACTCACTACAATTTGTTTTTCTTGGAAAGTGAATTTCAAAATGATTTAAAAAGGCCACACCAGTGTATCGCAACATGTGCAGAAAAGTTTATTACATTATCTTGTCTTCCCCACCAGTGAGGTGATAAGCATTGTGAAGTGCAGAGTGTTAGTCTATGGAAGTCCAGGGGTTCAATACTGTAATGATTGCCTCCAGCCGGAGGGGGATTTCTCACTATCACTTAACAGACTTTAATTTGCCGTCCTTGTCCCTTCTGTCCACTTGCGCCATTGATCTGAGTGTGTGTTTGCTTGTGTGTGTGTTCTCACCACAGAATTTCTGCAGCCGAGCAGCTCTGGAAGCTCAGGGCTCCTGTCTGAACAACAAATACTCTGAAGGCTACCCAGGGAGAAGGTGAGTGTGTTTATTCAGCCCCACCTCTGCTTATTAACACTGTTGATATTCTGCGCTTGAGGATATTTGTTACACACTTGCACAAATACACACACACCAATTTAGACTGTGCTCTCTTGTTTGCCCTGCAATAGCACATTCTAACTACATAGCAAATAATCCCCGCCCTCTGAATTGCCAAAGAAAATTCCCAAGGGGATACACTGGAAGAATTTAGTGCCAGGCTGGTAGTTGCATGTTTTCTATTTTCAGTTTTCTGATTTTCAATTATTTGCTGTGGATAATTCACATTTATCAGCAGCAAACAGAAAGCTGATATGTTGCGAGATTCTCCTCATTTGATGCCTTTGATTCCTGGAATGCAAGTCTATCATACATTTCATCCCACTGAATGTGGTTTAATTTTTTTTCCCCACAGTCCAGCTCATCTGTTGTTTTACATTTTAATGTAATGAAACAAAAGGATGATCTCACTGGTCTCTACAGAAGCCATCTGTTGCTCCTTCATCTGTAATTACACTGAAAAGCTTTGATGAGCATTTTTACCTTAGATGCCCCAGATCTGCTGTGAAAGTTTTAGGTCATCTTCAGTCTAGGTTGCTCTAGATTTTTATGACCAACAGTGCCATTTGTGGCAGATATATGAAAGCGAACAGGCATTACTGAAAAAAAAGGGGGCGGGCTATAATTGATATTGTTCTAACAGTAAAATTCTAGGAACATTTTAAATTGTCAATGTATTCTGTATGGACATGACCTTCCTAACAGCAAGCAGCTGACAAATAGATTGCCGCTAGCTAGTGAACAGAGTGGAGCATATGCAGTTAAAAACAAAAATCAAGAATAATATTTCCGTCAAGAGTTGGTGGTGACACAAGCAGACCTAAAAGAGAGAACATTGTTTTTACATTCACAAAGTGGACGCAAAGTGTTTCCATAAACAACTGTTTACTAACAAGGTTGTCATATCAGCTTGAAACAGATGATTCTGTTGCCAGAAAGTAGCCAAAATATTAGCAATTTCAGATTAAAATTACATCAAAATTGAGGAATAATTTAGCAAGTTGCTTGCAAGACTGATTCACTATATTCATGGAATATAAAATTTTCTTTTTTCTTTTTCAACCTTTATCCCAGGTACTATGGAGGGGCAGAAGTGGTTGACCAAATTGAGCTACTGTGTCAGAAACGAGCTCTAGAGGCCTTTGACCTGGACCCAGCTCAGTGGGGTGTCAACGTCCAGCCTTACTCTGGTTCTCCTGCTAACTTTGCTGTCTACACCGCCGTGCTAAACCCCCATGACCGTATCATGGGCCTGGACCTGCCCGATGGAGGACAGTCAGTATTCACTGCTGTTTTCTTTTTATTCTCCACCCTGTCACTTTTTTCTCTCATCCTCACATTTTTCAAAGCTGCCCCAGTTTCTTTGTTGGTCAACACTAGTGTGTCACTTGCAGAGCCTGAAGAATCAGTGTTATGCATTTTTCCTTTTTTATTTTCCTAATCATTTGTTTACACTAGAAATAAGATTTTTCTTTATGGATTAAGTTGTTTGCCAGCTACACATTGCACAAAATAATGTTTGTTAATATGTCCCTGTCACCCCAGTCTGACCCATGGCTACATGTCTGATGTGAAGAGAATCTCAGCAACGTCAATCTATTTTGAATCCATGCCCTACAAACTAAACGTAAGTAGAGGTGCCTACTTCTGATGTATATTTTATCTATTTCCACCAGTGATAAACCATCAGCATTCTTGGTAATGGAAAAGTAAATTCAAATGAAAAGCTATGACAGCAAGTTATAGTGTCATAAAAAACGTTAGGCAGATGCAAGTTAAACAATATTTGAAAATACTTTAATATTCTCGTGCATTTTTCATGCTTTTAAAATCCTAATTGCAAGAACTGTTCTAAATTGAGCCTGTAATGTCAAGACAATCACATTTTGCTGTTTTTCATCTGCATGGAGATTTGTACAATCAGGGTCCCCCACGAAGTGACAAGTAATTTATCAAGTTAACATATAGACATGATCAGTCCACTGTATATTTAGTGTATAGTATTTTATTCCCGGGGTCATAGTTGTGTGGTAGTGTTGGTAGCGGCTGATGGATGGCCACGAGAGTCTGCATGTCCAGACCTGCTGATGTATGGGCAGGCAGGACCCCTCTGCGTGAGAGATAATGGGAAATCGACAGGCTGGCCAGCACCACTGGCTCTGTCTTCACAATGAGCAGGTTGATGGAGTGAGGGGGCATCCATAGATGTGCTGTGGAGATGGGAGATTATCAGGTTGTCTAAATAAAGCTTTCCCTCCTCCTTTTCTCTCTTCTTTTTCTTGTCCATCTTCCTTATTCTCCATTGTGTCTGTTTCTTTGTTTTTCTGCTCCATCCTTCTGTCTTTCACTGTCTCTCCTTTCTGGTGCTTGGAGGATGACTAGAAGGGTAAAGCTGTCTTCAGGCGGCAGACGCCGGTCATTTGGCTGGTCCAGCCTGACTTCATTTCACATGACTCTGAACTACATCTTCTGAAAAATGGATTGTCTAACATGTTTCTTAAATTGCTCAGTTCAATGAAAGGAGCAGGACAAGTCTCGAAAGCAACCTGATCTGTTCAGCCTCATCTCACCAGTTCAGCAGATCTCTGAAAGGTTGAATTTGGATAAGTAGGGGTGCATTACTGCAATTGCTCCATCTTCCTCCATGATATGATAGGTGTAAATGTCTTCCTTAGATAAATTCCTTTCCCTTTTAAGGTAGCCAAAGTACTTCAAATGCAGCTGCTTCAAATGAGCTTCAAATGGAAAAAATCTCTCTTCCGTGTTGATATGTTTGCTCTTGATCCTTAGATATCTGACCTTTTTTTTTTCCTCCTCTCATGTACCTTTTTTTTTTTACTCCTGACCCTTACACTCCCTCTAATATTCTCATATTCCTCCTCCACTTCCTCTTTATTCTTGCCCCACCCTCTACCTCTTCTCTTTCCTCAATCTGTCTACCTCTCTGCAGACTGCAACAGGACTCATAGACTACGACCAGATGGAGTTGACGGCCAAGCTGTTCCGGCCCAAGCTCATCATCGCTGGCACCAGTGCCTATGCCCGCCTCATTGACTATGCCCGCATTAAGAAGGTGCACGGCGAACTCTCTGTATTCAAAACTTACCTTACTTTCACCCCATCTTTCTCTCAGTTTTTTTTTGTGTGTATTTTGCTCTACCCTGTACTCCACTGCTACCTGTTTTCTCTACTTTTCATCCTACATTAGGAAGGCCCGACCAGCTTCATCCTCTTATTTAAAACTCAGTCAACCTTTTTCACTGAAATGTCAAACACACCTGCTTCCCATATTGATAGGTCAGACCCAGCCAGCTTTTCTTCAAACCATGCCTTTACTAATTTCTGTCCCTCAGCAGAGACTTGTGTACTCAGAATTCAGAGCATTCACTTTTAAATTTCAACATTTCCAAACACAAACCAATTTTAGGGTCATTACACACTTTACACACAACAACACAGATGCCTTTTTCTTCTGTTGCCTACTCAACTCACACTCACACAGACTCACAAGTACACAGTAGCAACTTTTAACTGCACACTTCACTGCTCTCTTTGACGGTGCACAAGAGGCCCCTTTATCTGTTTTGTTATATACCCCCCCCCCCCCCCGCTGTTTCACTTCATTCACTCCATGACTGCTTTCCTTTGTTGCAGAGCTCCCACTTTAGCTAGTACCATCAGATGGAGTGTCCCACCATTACAGAGCTGTGTTTTTATTAAGCACCATAACTACTTTGCCACTAGGCCTGAAGAGGGGCCATATTTTCCCCCTGGCATGTCTCTGTGGAACTGTTCACTGTTTTATGGCAGAATCTGCCGGGCAGGCTCCTTTCCAGGTTTTCAGTGGTGTGCTACCTAGATTGGAGCAACCCCCCTTTTTTTTTTCCTTTTTAAATCTGAAATCTGTTTCACTGTCGGCATTCATCAGCGACATCACATCACCCCCTTGTGTTCTATACCCTCTTTCCACTGACTTTTAATCTATTAAACGTGCTGATCCAGTTTAGGTATGAGACGAAGTGAGATTGTCATGATAATGCATATTAATTGGAGCACTAAAAAGATTGTTTACTGCTCTGATCATTCGCCAGTGAGTCATTTGCATGTTAGAAAGCTATTTATTGTTTGTGCCTTTTTCAATAAATGCTGGCAAGAGACAGCAAGGATTTATTGAATTGCACTATAATATTTCAGGCCTCTGAAGACTGCAGAAGAGTGTAATTACACCAACTCTCATATGAAATATCTTATGCTGGAGAAGATAGGTACTGCTAACAGATGTAGAGTGAGTTATCAAACCCTAACTGGGGGAGGATATTAGTGCCATGAGATTGTATCTTTTATCTCAAATTTGAACTCATACAGGGTACAGTCAAATAAAATTCACACACTAATAGGGTCACTGATGGCATTGACTGTGGCAAGTTGCAGAGGGCAGTTTAGTTTTATATTATCTAAAGCAGTTTCTGGGAACACTTTGTATATCAAGAGTAATGCATATGCAAAGACATGGTGGTTTATAAATATTTGGCCGTGCACTTTTTCGCATTATTCTCCAGGACACTACAGTTTAAATTAAACGGTGACTAACGCTTAAGTGCTGACTTTCAGGTATGTTGAGGCTTAAATCATGTGTGTGCACTTTTTTGTTTTGTTTTGTTTCATGTCACGTTTTGACAGAAGTGGCAAGTCCTCTGTCACCTAAAAGTAGGAGACAGTGTCTAAGAAGGGCTAAAATTCCTATACTCAAGAGTGTGCATTTAGAGCCAATCTCACAAAAATCAGACTGCCTCAAGGTTTAATGACTGCACTGCAATTCACAGGTATTGCAGAGTAATGTGATGATTTTGAGTAGTGGAACTAGAACCAACATTTCCTGTCACACATATATATAAATGTGTACTTTAACTTTGCGATTGTTCCTTCTTTATGCCCTTGTCTTCTCTCAGCTCTGCACCAACATTAATGCCTACATGCTTGCTGACATGGCTCACATAAGTGGCCTGGTGGCAGCCAAAGCCATCCCCTCCCCCTTTGAACATTCTGACCTGGTCACCTCCACCACACACAAGTCTCTCCGAGGAGCCAGGTAAGAACAGTCGGTGAGCCTTAGAAACCACAAGTGGGGACAAATCAATTTACCAAGGATGAAACCTTGTTTAAGTTTTAGCGAAAGATAAAGTGGTAAAAATGCTTTGTCAGTAAACGATTCTGTTCCTTCCAGGGCTGGCCTCATCTTCTATCGTAAGGGTGTTCGCTCAGTGGACAAGAAGGGAAAGGAAATCATGTACGACCTTGAGGACAAGGTCAACTTCTCTGTCTTTCCCTCCCTGCAGGGTGGGCCTCATAACCATGCTATTGCTGGAGTAGCTGTGGCACTCAGACAGGTCAGCATAACACACAAATATCCCATTGCAATGTTCATTATGTCACACAGTGATCAACTTTCATTGCATCAGCCTGTTATTTTCCCAGTAAGAGGTTGAACAGATGGATCTATTTTTTCTATGAAAGAGATTCTTATAGTTCTTATGTCCCCCCTTTGTTTCTCTTATGTGAACTGTCTGAACTTCAATGCTGTGTGTCATTCATTAAAGAGAATGAAAGTAGTGATGTCTCACAATTTAACTATTAAAGGGAAATTTCTCTTGAGCAACAATCATTCAGTTTAGAGTGATATTCGTACTTCCATCACCTCCAAAAGTAGTCAACAATAGATCCATTTTTTAAGGTATTTGCTCATTTATTAAAGGAAATATTCAAATATTTCTATCACAGCATACATATATATATGTATATATATATATATATGTGTGTGTGTGTGTGTGTGTGTGTGTGTGTGTGTGTAGAGAGAGAGAGAGATTTTATTTTTTTTTTATTAAATAATAACTCTTAAACATGGTGCATTTACATTTTTATTGAGTTTTCTGTTGCCTTAATAAGTCATTATTTCTTGACCCCTAAATGAAAAGAAGATGACTTATAACCTACCATTGTTTGTGGGTTCTAGGCACAGTCTCCCATGTTTAAGGAGTACATTGCCCAGGTCCTAAAGAACTCCAAATCTATGGCTGCAGCTCTTCTAAGCAAAGGCTACACCCTGGTATCAGGTAATCTAACTTGTATATTAGCATTCCTTTTTTAAAACTATTTTTTCTAAGAAGACACCGACTCAGCAAACAACCGACAAACACTGAAAACTTGCGCAAAATGCCCTGTCACAAAATGCAAATTACACAATGGAGAAAAAAACTGGAATGCATTTAAATTCATGATGTGCAAATAGGCTAATGTCAGGGTAGCTACCTTGTCAGTTAAGGAAATACAATCTGATAAAAATGGTCACTTTGTGGCTGTGAGCAAATGCCTGAATCTTGTACTGCATTTAATACACTGGCCTCAGCTCTTTTTTGCTGTATACCTCTCAGTTGATACCCTAAAAATACAAATTTGTCCTGTGCTTACACGGCAGAGTGTACATACCCCACTTTTAATCCCTTTGTAGCTGTTTTGGCAAAAGAACCGTGCAAGACTTTGTAATAGGAATAATGTATCTTCAGTATTTGTGCAAAGCATATCCAAACAAATACTTTTCTCCATAGTTTAAATTGTAAAGAAAATCCTGTGTGAATCCCTTTTGAATTCACCTTAAACTGACAAATTAGTTAACTACCTTTGAAAATATTGCTCCCTATACAATTTTTAATGACATTATCAACTTCTATGACAACTGGGAGCAGAATTCATTTAGCTAATAGCCCTAGGTGTGTCTCTCTGTGAAAGACTAGAAAACAATTGTCAGGTCAGATTACTAAGAGTTAGACTGGAGTACTATTTTTAATTGTCTCAGCATATTGTATTATCAATATCATTATGTAGTTGCTATAAAAATGCTTAATACTTTATGAAAATGTTAGTAATTCATTACTGCTGTCCCATTGGAGTACTTTTAAGCCACATGATCTGCTGCAAATAATAAATTCAGACTTCAGCTAGTCCAGAATTAAACTGCCAGATTAGTTTAAACATATTGTTTCACATTTCTGTAATCCACAATAGATTGTCCTGGTTGTCTGTAGAAATTAGACTTGGATATGGCATACTCCTGTGAATAAAGAAAGAAACAGTATCACATACATCCTGTTCAGTCTGCGATCAAATGCAACATCCAGGCCAAATACATATTTATCACAGACATTTCTTAATGACCTCAATTTTGCGATTCCTCACCTTTTTAAAAGTAATATTTTTAAAGATTCTGTTTTTTTTTTGTTTGTTTGTTTTTTAGAGCAAACGAAACAAACTGGTTCACACAAATAATTGACCAGCACCGCCACCTTTTAAGAAACACATGACAGAAGCTCATCAATAAGCCCATACATACATACATACATACATACATACATACAACAATTTGGGTTACTATTGCATCTGTGTCAAGAATAATAATGTTTTTGATACCTCAGTTATTGTTATTTCTCTGCTTTTATGCTTTTATGGTTGACCTCAGAAATACCAGCATTTGCTGTGATGGAAGCCAGATAAAAAAAATCATGTAAAAAATTATCCATTTGTCTCCTAAACACGTCACTAAGCAAAAAAAAAAAAAAAAGCAAAAAATATGCTTGTCTCATTTCAGTTATTTCATTTCAATTCTAATTTCAAGGCTGCATGAAGTAAAACGTATAAATGCTGCTTTCAGGTGAACATAAATCGGATATGCACAGAAGAGAGGTGAAGATGTGAATCATTACTGACAAGACACTACTAAAAGTAATTTGGTTTCATCATTAGCAGCATTCGGTTTTGTATCCTAAAGCTAACAAGTCTAGCACCAACAGTTGTCTGTGTTAAATAAAGAACCAGGTGGTACGATCAAATGCTTTAAAGTAAAGATTGCATGTCTACAAAGCCTTGGACTCCTCTTCAAAAGTTTTTATGAACAATGCTTATTATTCCAGGTGGGACCGACAACCACCTGGTCCTGGTGGATCTGCGGCCTAAGGGCATTGACGGGGCTCGGGCTGAGAGGGTGCTGGAGCTCGTGTCAATCACTGCAAATAAGAACACCTGCCCCGGGGACAAGAGCGCCCTGACTCCTGGTGGCCTCAGGCTAGGTAAGGAACAACCTCACATTACATGGTGTTTAGCTGGACACACACAGGGGTTGTCATACTTATTATGAGTATGATCAGAAACCACATTTAAAAAAAACAGTAATGTTTGTGCTGGTTTTAATATTTAAAAAGTTTTAAATCCCAAAAGAAATTGTAATCTGTATTCCCAGTGTATTGTGTTCCATATGCCACTACAAAGAGAAGGTGTTTTAGTCAAATTTACTTTGTTTTTAACATCCTTCTCACTAAGTCTGTTTTACTTTTTCAAAACACAGGTCTACATATAGAAATTAGTCAGCCAACAATTACGCCACAAGCACTGAGCAATTCATGATTAATTAAACTTGTTTGGCTTTTTAATCATCTTCCAGGAAGTGCAAGAGCTCCACATCTACAGTGCCTTATTTTTAGCACTTTCTGAGGGGAAGGTCTTGAACCTACACTACAATGCTCTGCACTTATTACCTTCTCTTTTAGACTGCACTGTAGTGGCCCATTGACCATCAGCATCTGTGTAAGTTTGACACATCTCGAGTCTCTGTAGATTAATTACTGAAGTTTCAAGAAGCTCTGGGGTTCTGCTGCTTTTTTTTTTTCTTTTTTTCTCAAAGACCATATGGTTCCTAAGTAGGAAAAAAAAATCAAGAATATGAATTACATGCAGTTGAACTTCAAAGCAAAGAGGAAAATTTATAGGCAATATTTTATATTTCAAGCTACATTATGTTGTGTTCTTCTTTGTCTCAGGTGCTCCAGCTCTGACCTCCAGACAGTTCAAAGAGGCCGACTTTGTGCAAGTTGTCGAGTTCATGGATGAAGGTTTCAAGATTGCACTGGATGTGAAGAAAAAGACAGGTTAGCTCACTGAGAGAGGGCAGTCAGATTCAAAGTACAACAGTGTATATATTATGAAGCAAAATGTTATATATGTTATATTAACTTGCTGGATGAGAGGAGACAAAATGCTGAGTGGTGATAAAACAAATGAAGCTAAAAACCCTTTTTTGGTTGTCTGCAGGAAAGCTCCAGGACTTCAAGAACTTTGTTCTTCAGGACCCAGAAACTGTGGCTCGCATCGCAGACCTGCGCCACCGTGTTGAAGCTTTTGCCAGGCCCTTTCCCATGCCAGGTTTCCACGACCATTAGGCTGGCCAATGTGGAGTCACTGGTCCATGACAGCCAGATGGCAGAAACCTGGTTGGGCAGAAGTGTGCAAGGAGAAAATGGAAAAATGTCATGTAGTGAAATGTGCTTGTGCCTGTGAATTTGGATGACTTCAGTTCACTTTTTTCCAATCAGATCTGGGGAACCATTTTTTATACTTCTTCGCAGTTATCCATCAATCTTTTCTTCTGAAAACATGGCCTCCATGTTGAGGCAAAAGAAACAATGAAATATGACAGATTTTGTAGAGCAAAAGAAGCTATTTTCTATTGTATGTGTGAAGATCTTTCTCAGCTGTCTTCACACTGTTTAATGCAAGTGTGTGGGAGGAAAAAAAACATGTCAAATGAAACAAAGACCAACGCTTGGTATCACAGTCTCTGTGACTTGATAAGTATATTATTAGTTATTATAACAAGATACAATGAGAGTCTTAATTCTGTAAAGAGTCTTAACTAATGTCACTATTGTGTTTTGGTATGTTCATGAGGAGATCTTTGCATGACAGCTTTGTACAGTCTTTTTCTGTTTTAGAAACCAGGTACACAAACTAGTATTATGAGGCGAAGGGGTGTTTTGTCAAGCAGTGATGTGTTGGCTGCCTTTTTGTAGGAGGATGTTTTGTTGAACATTCTAAATTAACAAAGTATCAAAATGTCATTTTTGAAATTTAGATCTTTAACCTCAAAAAGATGTGACCCACTTCTTTCCAAAGTTAAAGGGTTCAAGCCAAAATTATACAGGAGACAGACTAAATAATCTTATTATATTTTAATATGCTGTAGTTAAATAAAGCAACACTACAAACTGCTCACATAAGTTGTTTAAAAACATGTTTCACACAGTGTAAATGAAAATCAAATATAAGCTTTAAAAGTAGAATTTAATGTGAGTTTGTATTAGATTGCTGCGTATGTCCAAAATCCAACTGAGAATGTCTTTTTTTTTTTTTTTTTTGACTTTGCTAGAACTGTCTTCTTTTTTTTCTTCCAGCGTATCATAGATGACAGATTTTAATTGCTCTTTATTTTCTTAGGACAAAATAGTTTTAAGTAACCAAATGAAATAATAACAGAAATGTCAGTCTGCATTATTTCACATTTGTTTCATTTTGTTTACAGAGAGAATCTACTTTTCTATATATTATTTACAAAGAATTAACTATGTAATTTCCATCATTTCATAAATGCCTGTCGGTTTCCAGTAGCATGCTCTTTTGTTATACTACACAAGAGACAGCTTGTAGTGCAGTCTGTCTGATTTGAGTGTCTTTTTTTTTTTTTCAACGTGGTGTTCAGTGATGGAAGCTGTGAAGCAGCTTGATTTGATAAAACATTCTCTGAGTATTTTGTTGTCTGTCTGGTTCACAGATTGGCACAGTTGTCATTGTCACTGCATCAGTGAGGAAGCAAGATTTCTGTTTGTGAAACTGTCTTATGGCACAATTGAGGCAGAGGCACTGGAAAATAAATGATGTGATACTTTCCTACTTTGCACAAAACACATCTTTTAAAGTGAACAAATTCAGATTTTTTGACAAGGCTTTGCCAAAATATACCAACAAGTATTTTACTACAGTGTACACAAGTCTACTGTTTGTTATCATCTTTGACGTGCTTCCAGCCATTGTACACCAACATGAGTTTGAACTAACTTTCTTTTACAGAACATTTTTATTAATTGTATTAGCAGAGTCCTAATAAAAATCCAGTGATGCAAATGCAGTTTGTTGTTGTGCGCTTGATATTAATATACATCACCTGTCACACCAGTCTGCCAGTATAATTCATTTTATACTGATATTTTAGCACCACAATGTGCTAAATCTCCCTAATTGCTGGTCTGGCCCCTCAGTCATGGAATCAAATGTAGTGTCATCTTTTAAATCTCTTCTTACACGACTAATTTGCACAATGCGGCACACTGTCCTTTTATTCCCAGTCCTCACAGTCTATTGAATTGCAACACTTTCTTTCATAAAACTTTTCATGCTTGGCAATAAAATGGATTCTGATTCAAAATTACACTTTTATTGTTTGGCTTTTTTGGGGGGGTTTTTGATGGAAATTGTATATATAGAGATGATATTTACTTGTTTTTAGCTTTAGTACTGGTTCTTAAAACGAGGCTTCAAGGCAGAGGAAATTACTTGACTATGTTTTGTAATCAATGTACTCGAGGAATCGATGCAGCCCGAATCACGCACTGTGACATCACAACACACACTTTGATGGGAGTGTCGCTAAGAGACGTAATACTTTTATGATAAAGTTTTAGCTTGTGAGGGTTGCTATAGATATGAATCGCTAGCCTTTGCTAAGCTCTCCAATTAGAGGACGTGAAAATGCTGACGTCATCGTACGTCTGCTAGCTGCCCCTGGGACCACCAGCTCTAAATCTGATTGGTTAAAGCAACAGTTTCATTGGAATGCATTTTAAGCTACAAAGGCCTGCACTTTTGATTCTGAAGGCCTCAGGGCAGATTTCTTTGACCCTGGCAACACATGATGGCTGGCATATGATTGGATAAAAGCTCTAATATAAACATACGCTGCTGGAAGCACCACAGCCCAGAGTCACACCATTAAACGTAGAGAATAGACTATTGGGAATAATGTTTTTAAAAAAAAAAAAAAAAAGGGGAAATGTTACAACCATAAGTCAATGATTCTAATAGAGTTTAGGCCAGCAGAGAAGGCCTTGCTGGCCCTGATGGCCCACCATTGTTATTATTTTAAATATCTTTTTTAAATTATTATATTTTATTTTAGAGCATGTTGGGACTTTGCTTTAGAAGGTGCTGTATAAATTAAGCTCATCTTTATATTATTACCATTTTTTCTTTTTTGGAGCAAGGCTGTATTTGAGCTATGTCTTCCTATATATTCACCATGAAGTGGCAAACAATCTATATGTCTGTTTTTAAATGTTTTCTAGTCAATGAGGAAATCAGGGAGTGGATTTGAGGCTTAGCTACAATTAGGTAAGTAAATTAATTTAATGTAAATACTAACGTGTTTATGGTCTCTTGTTTGTTGTCTGCTTGTCTCTGCTCTTCTCCTCTCTCTTTCCTTCCCCCCCTTACCCCAACCAGTCAAGGGAGATAACCGCCCTCCCTGAGCCTGGTTCTGCTGGAGTTTTTCAATCAACATGCTTGCCCATATGGCATCTGTGGATTTGTGGTTTTCTGTGTGCAATTTTTGTAGGATTTTAACCTTAATTTTCCAATTAGTCTGGCAATTTGTCAGAGGATATAACATTGTTGTTTAAATTTTTTGTGTTAATTTGTATAATAATAGTATTGTAGAGTCTTACCTTAATATTTAAATTAGTCTGCTAAATTTAGCATAATCAATAATATTGAAGCCTTGTAACTTTAATGTCTAATTTAGTCAAATGTATTTGTATTTTATATAATATCACAGGGTCTTTACCACAATATTAAACTTGTTCATTTTATGGTAATTACTGTTATGTTGCCTTTTAGCTGTAGCTGCTTTTTTTTTTTTTTTTCAAGTGTTGTATTGAAAAAAACAACTAAAAAAACACATTATGATTATTATAAATCCGGCCATAGTTTGTTTGTAAGGTCTAGTGGCATTAATTGTCCTTCTATGTGACTGTAATTTTGCAGGAAAAATACAATTTACAGGGCTTTTTCACTGCTGAGAGTTTGGTTTGTCACAGCAGGAAAAGCACGTGTTTTGATGACGGCTGCATTCCATTTAGCGGAGGTCCCGCTGTTGGGAATGCCGATTCTCTGCCACGGCTTACTGGGACACTTAATGGAACTATATAATCGGTAATTTTACCTGTGGTATTTATTCCATAGCAAGACAAAATCTCTGCAGTGAAAAAAAAGGTCTATAGTGAGCTCAGTGAGCGTCAGGTTTTTTCTCACATGGTGTACTCTCCTTGCTGCAACACAAATCAAACGCACCCTTTCTGACATTGCGGGTTATTTAAGCTGCTGAGGCCCTGTGCTCTGTTTGGTTATGCGCACCTGCTTCACGTTTTATGCTACAGCATTTCAAGAAGAAACAGACGAACCTTCCAACAGTCTGATCACTTAAAGGAGATACCTTAATAGAAATTTTTCAATTCAGCTGCTCACCTCCTGCTTCTTTCCTCAGGCTGGAGGAGCTGCACTGGACAATTCACTGGCTTTCAAAGGATTTACCTGGTAATGTGTGCAAGATACCAGGAATCACTGCATCTACAAGTAAGTTTTTGATTGCTACTTGGGCTAGTATGTCCTTCAGGAGCTGAAGTATTGGCTTTGTTCAGTTTGTGTCCGTGTGCTCCCTGATACCTAATGCCCTGTGTTTGCTGTACGGTCCAATATTGTGCCATCTATTCACAATATATGCTGTTTGCTTCCATATGCATGTTCTCATTGGATAGTTTTTTTCGCCTATTAAGGTGTTCTTCTGTTAAGTAGTTTGCAGTAGTGGAGGAACAGGTGTGGCACAATGTCCCATAGGGTGCTGTTACAAGGTAACAATTGGACACATCCCATTTTTACATTTTTATTCTGCATTATTTCCTGCAATATTGGCATCAACAGCTGTGTGATTATGCAGCTGCTTATATTACAATTTATTGCCTACCTTTCTGTGATTTTCTGTGTTCACGTGATGCATGAATCTAACGCCTTTTTGCCTCTTTTCTGTCAGCCTTAAGGTTATATCAGTATACTGCTGTTTTCTCGCTTCTCGTCAATGCCACGTAACATTTCATGTGAAGGTTTTCTGCTTCAAGACATTATTTAATGTAATTTTAGAATGCATGAATGAATGATTATCTGTTGCAGTGTTTTAGTGGTTGCTACAGTATCAAGCAGATGACTGTGTTTACATGTATCCATTCCAATTCAATTCACTGAATACTGTAGTATATACTGGAAGCACTGTGCTGGGTAATGGTCACATGGCAGTTGGTACTTTGTGGGGTAGCTTGTTTTTGTGCTAAGTTTTTATGCATTATGTTATTTTTGTGCAATTTTAGACAAAATGATGTCAGCCTCATCATCTTATCAAGGTTCCATCCATCCATTATCTATACACCGCTTAATCCTCACTAGGGTTGGAGGGGCCTGGAGACTATCCCAGCTGACTTAGAGCGAAAGCAGGGGACACCGTGGACAGGTCGCCAGTCTATCACAGGGCCACACTTAGTACAGACAACCAAGCACACTCACATTCACACCTACGGACAATTTAGAATCACCAATTAACCTCAACATGTTTTTGGACCTTGTGGGAGGAAGCTGGAGAACCTGGAGAGAACCCACGCTGCACGGGGTGAACATGCAAAGTCCACGCAGAAAGATCCAGGTGTCCTCACCGGGACGCGAACCTTCTTGCTGTGAGGCAACGATGCTAACCACCGAGCCACCTTGCAGCCCTTGATCAGGGTTTTAAAATGAAATCAACATTGGCTCAAAATGTTGACAGGCAGATATGATGATGGTGACTCATGCTCAGTGCTGTGTCCCTGGCGTGAGGGTGCGTACAAGAATGGATATTACATTTATTTATTTGATTTGCAGCTTGTGATATAGGTCAGAAGTCACCTGGTTGTGGCCATCATCAGGATTATCTTATAGTAAGGGAAAAATATCAAAATCTGCCAACTAAATCGTTACCAAACAATTACTTCACCAATATGTTTGTAAAGGTGTGTAATAACATGCCTTAAAATGTTGAAATCCAACTCCTGTGGGAAACCTTAAAAAAAACTTGCTTAAGTTAGGGTACCGATAACCAATTGACGAAAATCGTGCCTTAAAAATCGTGCCTTAAATATCTTATGAGGGGTCAAATTGGGGTTTTTTCATGATTCTGAGTTGATTGTTGGCATTTATATTTTATCACAAACACTCCATTGTTGAAAAAGGCCACACTCATGTTTACATTTACATTTACACTAGCTTTTACTTATACACCGCTCAAAAAAAATAAAGGGAACACTAAAATAGCACATCCTAGATCTCAATGAATGAAATATTCCAGTTGAAAATCTTTATTCATTACATAGTGGAATGTGTTGACAACAAAATAACATAAAAATGATCAATGTAAATCAAAATTATTATCCCATGGAGGTCTGGATGTGGAATGAGGTGGCGGATGTTCTCCTGAGGGATCTCCTCCTAGACCAGGGGCACAAAAACTTGGCGTACACACTTTTCCACGCTCACGTTCAGATGTATCAAGAGTGAAATGATCGTGGAAATGTACGGTCCTCCATGTCACCTTCTTGACTGGCGTATGCACGTTTCTATTGCTTTTGAGCTCATCAGCTGCTTTAGGTTCCCGAGGGCAATCCTCTTGGAACTGTGCACGGAACTGCGACCATTATTGGAGCGCAACACGGCCAGGAGCCATGTCCTACCTGTGCCGACACAGGTGCTGACCACACTGGGCTTCCTAGCCACAGGGTTATTTCAGAGGGAGCTGGCTGACTGATCGGGACTGTGCCAGTTGACACTGAGCCGAGCTGTGTGGGGTGGAACTATCCGAATGTCAACCACGTACATCAAGCTCCCACACCTCAGTTGAACAGGACGACGTAAAAGTGCAATTTGTAGCGAAGGCTGGTTTTCCTAATGTAATCGGAGCTATTGACTGTATACACATTGCTATAAAGGCACCATCACAAGGTGGATTTGTTTATGTAAACAGGAAGCATTTTCATTCGGTCAATGTACGATCATCTGTGATGCGTAAATACATTTAAGTAACGTTGTTGCGAGGTGGCCTGGATCAAAACACGACTCATTCATTCTGGCCAACAGCATGGTTGGGATCAGGCTACAAGCTGGCACAGTGCGGGATGGTTGGCTTCTTGGTGAGTAAATAATTGAATTGTTTTAATATTAATTCCCCTGACACACGTTAAGCATGTGCGCCCTAGACGGGCATCAGCAGCTGGCTGTTGTGGCGGACCGGAGGATCGGCTGACGCCGGGAAGGCTGGAGGAATCCGGGTCTGTGACATGAGGCTGGGACTGCATCTCA